ATGACTCACATGCTTTTGCACCTGGCTTACCGCCTTCGGTGGCACCGGTGTGGGCGATGGCACAGTGGGCGGCACTGTAGCCGGCACTGTGGCTGGCACTGTGGCCGGCGCCTGTGTCAGAGGACAGATCAGCCCCATGTTACAGCTCGTCAGAGCTGCATTTCCTTAAACTGATAATAAGATGGGAGTTGCATTCTCGGCTCCGTCGTTGTTCTGGGTGGGGCTGTTCATCGATACGAGCGCCGATTTCAGAAGTGCGTCGATTTTGAGGCACTTCGGCTTACGGTCGCGGATCGTAAACCTTGAAGAAACCTTGAAGCTTCTGAGAGCCACATGCATGAAGTCGCATGCTTCCCAACCCTAAGCACGTGCTGAGGTCGGTGAGGACCTGGGACAGTCTACAACTCTACGGCTCAACCCTACTCGTGTTAAACATGAACTGACATGCACCAAACGCGACCATGGATGAAAAGACCGATGACGAGGGCAAGACTGATCAACATCACAGTAAAGGAAGAAAGGCAGCAGCCGCCACTCATAATGTTGATCCTAGTCATGGTAGTTCTGGAAAGGCGACCCCCACTTCTCTTTTTGTGTTTGCGCTCCTAGCACAGGCTGCACATGGAAAAAACATCCAACAAACTTCCTGCGACCCTTTCCTTGTTGCATCCCTCATAACATTGCATTCTCCTGAGTACTTGCCGGGCCCTGCTTCCGCGAGCCTGGCTGACCGCCTTCGGTGGCACCTGCGAGATGTCTTTGTTAGCAACTGCACCCAAAAGCTGGCAGTCTCTTTTGCGATTCCCGGGCTTGATGCCTGGCTAACCGCCTTGGAAGGCGGAGGAGCCTGCGACGAAACAAATCGCATTGGGCATCAGCCAGTCAGTCAGTCCCGGCGCACGCGCCTTGAAGCTGGCCGTGGCCAGGGAGTCTGGCACCTCAAAGCACTGCCAGACATAATGCAGCCTTGCTTCATAGCAGCGGCCCAGTCAATTCCAACCAGCACGGTAACAGCAATACTTTCGCATGTCCCGTGCTAAATGAAGATGCGGTTCTGAGATCTGCGGACAATCTGGCAGCAGTTTGTATTGCAATGATGGGCGTGTCGATGCGTTCACCGCCAACGAACTACAGTACTGCACAGGACCGGGCAATCTCCTCCCCAGGCGCCATGAGTTTGTGGCGCGGGGCTAGGTGGCTGCCACAGCTCCGAAGCTGCTCATGAACTCCAACGCTTGTAAAATTCCTTGCAAATTCCGCTGCTGAAGTCGTCGCTAAGTACATCGCTCAATGCTGATTGCAGGGGGGTCAAGCAAGTGTAACAGAGGGCAGATGCATGCAAATGCATATGGCTTCACTGGAGGATGAGGCAAATTTGCCAAGTAGTGTAAATTTACCCCCACCCATTGTGAGAGCTCTGTAGGCTTGCCGAATGTGATGTACAAGCCCATTGTGATAGACGGTGGGCTTGATCTGCAGTGAGCTCAAATGACTACACTGAAAAACACATAACCGACATCAATGTGAGTGTCATGTCGGCTAACTGTCAGCTGGAACAGTGAGCGGGGCACGCACAGGCCACAAGAGAGATAAAGGACTCGGCAACTTGGATCCAGGGTGTCATTGAAGATCTCACGGAGACGCCAAAGCCAACCGCAAAACAGCAAGATGTTCCCTGCGGCCCTCTGGAGACTCCTATGATCAGCCAGCGCTCTGCCGGTGAGAATAACAGCGAAACGTGGAACCGACATGCACTTGGAAGCGCGGCAGCGCTCCTAAAGATTATTCCGCCGGATTCGAGGTTCCCAGACGTCACACTCAAACTCCACAACACGTGAAGCCCTAGGTTCTGGGACCTTCAGCTCTACAACCGCGAACCCCAGAGTCCTAGAGCGCTCTCAACTCACCTGCCGTAGGAAGGTGAGCCCCTGCTCGACATGGACACTGGATTGTAGGATTCGGGGTTCAGGGTTCAGGAAGCTAAGTGCCTGCTGTGTAGTTAGAGGGTAGAGCTGCAGCATCTCAGCATCACTGGAGCGATAAGGTGTCAGATCTTCGGAGTTGGCGCTTCAGGGTTTGGGGTCTCAGGCGGCTTCAGGATCTCGACACTTACAACTCGGGCAAACCAGCAGCTTCAAAGGATTTAGGAAATTTAGGGTTCGCTTCGTGCATCTTCAGAGTCAGGAGCATCGGGACGTAGGCTCACGGATGGAACCTCTGAGGAAGGCGGGAAACAAAGTTCAGGTATTTCGGAAGGCCTTTCTATGAAAGTCAGGAATTTACAAACACCTTCTGAGGACTGGATCCAAGTCTTGCAAAATCCCCTCCTCTTCCCCGCGCGACTCCTCGATCCTTCTGCAGTGGGCCAACAGCACCAGCCTGTCCCGTCTCGCGGACGGTGATCGAGAACCACTTCGAGCTCTTTTCCGCCTTTGGAATGGAGCAGAAAGACAGAGTCCAAGGAAAACATCAACCCCACTCTGTCCCTAGCATTCTGGAGGGTTAGTTACCCGACGGTCCTGGAAGGGCTCCGCCGGCGGCTGCGACTTCGGCTGCGCCTGCGAGTGTGGAGGGAGCTGCGGATGCAGTCAGCTTCTGCGACCGAACAAAGCTTCGGCCCATGTTCTAAGGCCATGCATGGTGACTCGTTCCGAGTTCATGCTGGTGCGACGCAATGGCGATATGGCCTCCGTGCAGGGCGACGTGGGCTCCTGCTGCGACTGCTGCGCCTCAGAAGCGATGTGTAGCTTGGACACCGCATGGACAACCGCTGACAGCAACAAATCCGCCCATCTCTCTCTCTCTCTCTCTCTCTCTCTCGCCTAGGACCACGTGGGGCAGGCTGCGCCCCGCCACCTGGCTGGAGGATCAGGGTTTGTGGTTGCAGGCACGGCATACGCAGAGGAAGGCTCGAACGACTTCCACGTCTGGCCTCCGCCCTTCCCCATAGACAGCTGGATGTTCAGGCTCTTGCCCTTCCAATGAAAACATCACGTCGTGGTCAGGAATTCGCACACTCACTGAAACTTTTGCATCACCACCTCATGACTATGTCGGCAGACGTACGAGGCTGTCCAGAAGATCCGAATTCCTGAAGAACGGCCTGAAACTTCACTCCATCCATTTCCTCTATGGCTTTCAATGCCTCGGCGGTCTTCGCATATATATATATATATATATACATATATATATATATATAATATTTAGTACATATATTACAATACACTCTTGTCAGCAATCAGTGTTTGGCTCTGGGCATGCTCTGCCTTCGGCTGCAGTAAGCTACAGCTAATTTGGGAGTTTCAGAAAATTTGGGTACCTTATTTGGGGGTCCTTATAATAGGGATCCTATTATTTAGGGTACTATATTAGGGTCACCTTTTTGGGAACTCCCCATTTCAGCAGAACAGAATGTGATTAATCCCAGCATGGGGTCGCACGCACAAATCCTGGCCAGAAGCGCTCAAGGCCCCGGCATCCTTGTACGTGTCATAAGTGACGAAAGCGAATCCTGGACTGATCAACACTCTTCGGTTTTTGCTGAGCGCGCTCCTTGTTCTTTACCCAGAATAGCGAAGCCTGCAGGACTTCAGGAAGGCACCTGCTGGCTGTCTGGAGACCCACACATCCACTATGTCGCCATACTTCTTGAACTTCCTCGCGAGCTCCTTGCAACCATTTTAGCTGCTTGCCGACCACTATGAAGTGGTGCACGGTTCTTCCACTTTGTCAGCCATTGAACTACAACAACCTACAACACAACGGGGTCTGCCTCCTTCTCGGGAGGGACATCCTTGTCGAGGTTGCCGACATATATCCTCCATGACTCCCAACCGGGAAACGGGTCGTTTCAAGTCTCAAACTGAATTGGCCAACATGCAAGCTCACTGTCCTCGTCGGCATTGCTGTAATGGCTGTGGCAAGTTGGCACACTCACCACACTAGAAGGTTTGCTGACCAGTTACGTGCCGAGACAGAATATGCCGATCACTGAAGCGCATCGCACAATTTGACAATGGCAACTTCATGAAACGCTGCATGAAGAGGTGATGATTTAATAAAGATCTGGCTCCCATGGTTGGCTGCTTTTGGACCTTGGGCCTAAACGGATACCTCGAAAATGGTAAGCGTGGTAAGCTTCCATGCCCTGGGCCGGTCCTGAACGTAACCTCGGCCATGAGGATGAAGGCAAATACCAAAGACGACGCGCAAAAACAGCATCAACCACACCATCAATGTCATCGCCATCAACATCGGCATGTGTGTCAGCATCGTCCATCGTCAGTTAGACCGCCATGGACATCTGACAATATAGTATGTAACTGCCACCCGTCACGGTAAGAGAAGACATCGTGGTACCTGTGCTGTTGCATCTCGCGTGAAACCTAAACGATGCTCAACAAGAAAATGTATGGCAGCCTGATACACTGCGGACGGCGCTTGGATTGAAAAAGCCGCTAGGAGCTAACAATAACTTTCTCGAGGGCATCCTAACCACTAACAGCAACTTTCTCGAGAGCATCCCGGTGGCGAAGCCGCTGGAACAATGCTTTGAAAAAAATTCTTGACGATGGCTGGAGCAACTCAGAGCTGGCCTTCAGGCAAGGCCTTGGAATTGCAGAAAGCAGCACAGCAAACGCAACGGGCGCGAAATGCAGCACGATTGCTGGCATAAAGAAAGCGCATGGATTCTTGCCGTTCCATGTCATGGTGACTTACACTTCTTGTGTTTTGAGCGAGTCGTCCCAATTGGCGAATCTTCTCAGTCAACATGAAACTTCTCCGGCCCTTGAGCAAGCGGAGTTCTCACAGCTGCCAACCAAAGGGCAGAATTAACTCGATGCAGCTAGCTAGGATCAAAGAATTCGCATGTCCGGCGAACCGAACCATGTCGGGAACTTTGCCCAGTAAAACCAAAACTGAAGCAAGCTGCCATTGAAGAAGCTCTTCACCAGCGTCGACATGGCAGTGGCGGCAGGTGCTGTAAAGCAAACGCAGAGTCACGTTGCGGGCATGCCGCGTTCAACAACGCCCCGAGGCTCCAGGTCTCGCTCGGAACATTGGCGAGACATTGTGCGGGCCGGCAGCAACGGCCAACTAGGACGACTCATGTTGCTGGGCCGGCCGGTCACAGTGCTTGTGCGGCTGGCCTGACCGTCGATATTTTTGCACTGCCATCAAAACCCCACGCAGAATTGCAACAACTCCAGCACTTCCGTACACAAATAATTGGCCGACCCCCCCCCCCCCCCCCGCCCCCGCCGGGAAATCGACTGCTTCACTTCAGCACCGAAAATGGAGGCAATGCGCTGAGAATGTGCACACCGAGAGACTGCGCGGCTGCTTCGGGCGAGGGAAGAGCGGGCCCGCCGATCCAGGTTGGATGCTTGGAGGTCGGAAATCAAGCTGTCGAAGGCACCACGCCTCATCTCATGTGATTGAAGGGCTCGCCTTCGCTCTAGCAAGCTGCCATCTGCATCGAAGACACGGTGCCATTCCGCGGTCCTGCCAAACAGCCAAGACCACGCACGCCAGGTTGGCAACGGCATATGTGCCCATGATGACCTGGGCAGTCGATGATATGCCTTGTGCCGACATGTGCCGACCATTTCTCAGCTGAATCATGGCGACTGACTGTCGCGGATGTCTTCGAAGGCCAGAGGGTCGCCTCAGGCCATCTCTGCCATCTGTCGATCCGAGCTATGACAAAGCTTCCTCATGCACGCATCGAGTGTTCACCGAGCTGCTAACAAGCTTCCCACGGAGCCCCAAGCAAACAACAGGCTGTGGGCAGTCGAGCGGATGTGGGTGGGAAACGCAGCTGGGGTCAGGACCCACCTTCATGTCGCCGACACATTCACACTCTTCAAAAAGCATGCTTGAGTCTGCCACGACACGACAATTGCAGACAAGAGGCGTTGCTGCAGTTCCACCCATACATCCAGCACGAACCAAGAAGGCCAGCACCGCAATGAGGATGTTAGATCCGTTGAACAGCTTTGCCACTGCTACACCGAGGCAGCCGAGGCAACTTAACAAGTAGCACCACGGTTGAACTGTGGCAGCACTGATTCGAAACGAAGCAAGGAGCACGGCTGTCGTACCGACGATTTCGCCAAAACTCGTGAACAGCACTTCGGTATAATCCATCGTTCCACCGGATTCAAACAGGAAGCCGCTGGCCATCGAAGCGCCGTAATAACCAAAGAGTCCCAAACACCAAATCCCACCTTAGTTGGAGTTCCGGGTGAAACGTAAAAGCCAGGGATCGACGTCTTACCGATATGTCACATCATGCCGTGGCACCACCTGAACGAACCTGATAGCATGCGGTCTGAGGATCTAAGCGACAGCAGCTGTCGTCGCAGAGATGGCACCTGAAGTCACCAGCTTGCCTACACGTTGCATACACTGCAAGCGATGTGAAGGGCTGCTTGAACTGCCAGCCCGGCGTGACAGCCTCACACGTTCTAAAGTGCATGCAAGGCACGAGCAGCTCCGTACAATTCGGTTCCGCTTCATGCGCGTATGAGACCAGTGCTATGTTTCCAAGCTCCTGCGCACTCTTTGTAATGCCCTGTTCTGCAATCTAGCTTCGCCGGGAAAGCAGGCAACCATGGCTTTGTCAGTCATGTCTCTTCCCTCAACCTCCAAAGACGTTACGGTCAGTGAAGGAGGCAAACCATCGGAATACGTCACATCTCGCACTGCATCACTTCTACATCTGCTCTTGAACTCGAGACTCCCGATTGTTGACGGCGGCGATGCGACGCAGCGTCGCCAGTGCATCATCATCGTAACCACGGTCCAAAAGCCACAAAGGGCTCTCCTAAACGTCGGCACGGTGCTTTTCCCAAGTTACCCTCAGGTACTAAGGACGCTCGACATTTGCTCATATCTCCCCCGGGAAAGTTAATGCTGAAGTTCTTGGGACAAAGCGAAGCATCATGGGTTGACAGCAGCACAGACAGGTAAATTATTGAAAGGCGGTGAAAGGTGCTGAGATGGCTCGCTTCAGCCCCCTGCCGTCCTCGAGATACAAATATCCAATGCAAGCAAGGAGAATGGGCAGAGCAGTCAGCAACAAGTATATCCTTGGCATGGAGCGCAACGGGCTTTGAGCTTGGCTGCAATGAAGGCGCTCCGTACCATCACACTCGAGCTTCTGATTAGGAGCTCTTTGATCTTCTTGCGGTCGCGGTGCCTCCAACCCCAAGTCTCCATGATAGCGGCAGCCAGGGCGTTTGTGTACAATGTGCCGATCCTAAGCAGTCTCACGAAACAGCCTTTGCGCCTCCGACCGACACATCAGTCTCCACGAGCGATCTTGCTGTTCCGCGAGACAAGCTGGCAGAAACACGAGACCCCCCAAACCGCACGGTGTACAGTTGTTGCCCCACGCAATAAGTGTCATGAAATGTCATGAAATCAAACCTCTTCAGCACAGCAACGTCCAGGCGTATTCAATCGCATAGCACATCGTGCTCCTTGGCCAGCGGCTGGAAAGTTGTCCAGCTTTGAGTCGAAGATCGAATGCAAACCCAACTTACTATACACTCGGGCAGATGTCGACGTACAAACCACCTATTATCTATCACTCTGTGATACTCAACTTCTGACAAAGTGCGAATACTTCTCCGGAACACTCTCCTCGGCACCGGGGCAACGCTGCGCAAGCCAGGCCCAATTAAGTTGCACATGCCGGATGACAGTAGCTCTGCCCTTGCAGGCCCTGGCTCAAACTAAGGGCTGCTCCGCCAGGTTGTCGAAGGGAATCACAACGCCACCGATGGCCAGGCCGACCAATCCACGGGCCACAACCAACCATGTGTACCTTACGGCTTGCTGCTTCAAGGGTGTTTCTCACTCCTGCTGTCCAATTTCGAAACGTCTACTTGACTCGTACCTACAGACTGCTCGTCTGCTTTCTTGCAGTTCTGTCCACCGGCCACCTGAAGCTGGCAGCAACAGCAAGCGACCGTCAATGCATGGTGCCAAAACAGTCGGGAATATGTGTGCTTCGCATCTGGGACCGGAGCGCAAGACTGATTCTCTGCAACTTCACGACATGGTTTTCCAAAGGCAAGTATTGCGATGCTGAAGCCTTCCCCCTTGAGGCCAGCTACGAGGGAGATGCCGCAGAGAGGCAACCGGTGACCAGCAGAAAAACCTTGGGGTTGCCAACATCGGAGTGGTTTCAGCCTAGCTCTCAATACGGTTTGAATGGAAGGACCCTGAAAGGATTACCTGATTACCTTTGTAAGAACAGCCCCAACCTCAGACCCTCTGCAACACACCGTCCGGCTTGCTCATCATGCTGCCTAGGATGAGTTTCCCTTGGCCTAGGGCCTAGGTGAACCATGGTGAACCCTCTGCATCCGTCTTTCAGAAGTGCACCCACAGATTCCCGCATATACTGCATGTTGCACGGAAACAAAGCCAGCAGAAGCCAAGGCACGTTAGCCAGCAAGAAGGCTCGCCTGGCCAGAGGTGTCTATATCGCATGCAAGCCGGCTGCAGAATCCCAGGCCGAGAGCCGTCCAAGGCATCCAAGCCGTGCACCGGCCAAATGCTCGCAGCTTGAGCCCCAACTTGAAGGACTCAGGACACCTCGTTGTCCATCGATTGAACTACACCCGCCTCCGACCCAAGCGATCGGACAGGCTGCCCCAAATGAAGCTGCCAAGCCTGCAAAAATACAATTGAAAGCCCAACATTTGACGTACGGTGTGTCCTGTGTCTTGACTTAGATCTTGGATTTGGACGCAAATGCAGTAGGGGCACAGCTTCGTGCCAAAGACACTCATGGACAGGGCATTTAAAGCCCATCCTTGGCTTGTGCACACACTCAAGGGTGTCATGTTGCTTGTGCTGAGACTATGTACACACGAAGCCCGGCTCATTTGGCGGAATCACTTGCACGCAGGTACTGCAAGGCGGTACTTAGCGCATCTTCTGGCTCGCATGCAAGCATCCTTCAGCCTCAGGCCACTCTTCCGGAATCTTGCGTTCCAGAAAGGTTACAACACCTCAGATACACTCTTCTGCACACTTTGTGTGGGAATGTAACTCGTTTTTGACATCGCGGTTAAGGCATGTTGTGGCACATGCATGTGCGAGCAAACCCTGGCGTTGCTGCGACAATGCCACCCACTTCAATGGAGTCGGCCATGAAGCCACAGCCAGCTATTAACAGCAGCCGCATCTGAAACCGTCCGAAGCCGACCATGTCCTGAGAGCTCCAACTCTGGGATTGCCGCTGAGGCAGAACATCCCTCTGGCTGTTCGACTACTTCTCAGACATTCGAACGCATGTCTCTCCCATTGTCATCCGAAGCGCGAAAACTTCGGCCAGCGATTTCTCTTCTGCATCGGCCCGCTGGTGTGCGTTCATCGAAGCCACCGGTCATAAAACAGGCCCAGTGGGCAAGTCAACATAGACCAATCTTATCAACCATGGAGCCGCTGCACAAAAGCCGCGGCATTATGGGTTGAACAGAAATGCTAGATTGGTTGGAATCGTGCTGAGTACGGTTTGTAAGCAAGGATGAGCCAGGACTGGGCAGTAGTAAGCAAAAGCTTGGGCAAAAAGATCCAGGCCAAGGTTGGAAGCGGTCACATCTTGCCACCCTTTTTGTGGAGAGCCTGCAGCCCAGACGGGTCTGAGGCTGGGTCATTTTAAGACTTCATCTGCCAGGGCAAGGTCACCGACCAGGAGTTCCGCAACTCCTCAGCTAGCTGGCAAGCAAAGCTTTGGTCAAGCTGCTAAAGGAAGGCCGGCACACACTTTGTTTTTTCCGAAAATTCGATGGGGATGTTCGAAGGAATTGGTTCACGAGTTAGCAAAGCTCAGTGGCGCGTTGTTACACTAGTGCTTGGTGGTCTGCAGCTTATAGATTTTGCACATGTCTAGCAGCCACCACTGCTTACCTTCATGAAAGTATGCCGATGGTGTGTACGGTTGTGTTCTGTGAGGGTGGCCCTGCACTTCTCGATACAGCTCCCCTGCAAATGGAACGACATCATACCCCGGTTCGAAATTTTGTTGTGTCTGTTGCTTTGAAGATTCTAGTTTTTGAAAGGCTTCGATAGACGGAGTGACTGCGCTGATGAACATACTTTTGAATATGCCGAGGAGAGTTCAACATGAAGCAATGGAGGAAAGCCTCAAGCATGCTTCAAAGGATCACAACTCCTAACTATTCTGGCAATATGTCTGGTTCCCGTGGACACAGATTTCCAGGAGCTCGGTTGGAATTGGGACTAAGGCTTTTCATTGTAGAGCTGATATGTTTCTGTGCTGCCTGGTGGAGCTGACTGAGCCATGCGCCCAGTAGTCAAATCCAAGCCGGTTCATGAGCATCTCCGTAAACATGTGCCTTTGTCAAGGGCAGGGTTTTGCGGGAAGGGCCCCAAGCTGAGGCAACCATTGCACCTTGAGGTGTGCCAGGATTGGCTCTGGAGCTCTTTGCGCAAGCTGGGCAGATTCAAGATGTACCTGGCAGAAAGATGTATCAGAACAACACACTTCAAAATTAGAGAACTATGGAACTCAGGGCTCCCAGTGCTGTCTGCGTGACTATGCACATGTCTCATGACTTGGCTAACAGTGGCACACCCGAGGATCCAAGCAGAGATCCGATACAATCACAACTTTTGACTCTGACTTGCCCTGCAGGTTCTTTTCACATCCCACCTGATGCACGTCGGCAGGTCCGCCTTCCCTCTTTCAGCCCCTACAGCTCCTGCAAACATCTGCGAAAGGTGGCTTCATAGGCCTCGTCGCAGCTCTGGCGCAATCCACCTGACGCTCAAACTCAACGCTCAAACTCAAAGATTCCAGATTCGAAGCGCTTCAACTGTGCTTTCGAGAATCATTCGGAGCTTCCTTGTGGGCCTTGCCGCGCACTGTGCTAAGTTTTCCCTCACGCACTCAGACGGCCGAAGTTAAAGCACAGAAGGCCTTGTTGAAAACGTCCTGTTGACAGCTTGACTTACTAAGAATAATGATGACTCTCCTCATCATCACCATCTCCAGGGTGAGAAAAGTGCTGAACGGCCACATTGCTTCCCGTCACCCTGTGCTGCTGATGCACGGCAGCATCAGGTTCTGTGGCGGACGGGTCCGGCACACGCGACACTGCATGCCAACAGAAAGCCAGGGCTTCTACAGTATCGATCATAATATCCACCGCCCCTGTCACAGGGCCTAAGGCACCAAGCAGCAAACTTTCAATCGGCAGAAACAGTGTGTGCCTCTGGATCGAGCTGGCGCGCAGAGCCTTCAATGCTGAGCCTTACGAGACACTAGCGGACATCGCCTCCAACCATGATCATTCCGTGTATCTGCAAAAGACAAGCAGCATAGCACCCAAGTAGCATTAATGGTATCTTTTCTTCATGTTACTCCTTCTCCTTACCATTTAACGCCATTCCGAAAATTTGCGAGACTACACCAGTTCCACGGGCAACGGCATTCCCAGCAGGGTCCACGTGAGCGTGGTGTCGAGTCCTACCTCGGAGAAGTGCTACATCTTGGGAGACTGAGCTCTGGAGAACATCAAAACCAGCACCGTTCAGTTCAGCATGGCTGATATCCCGCCGCAGAAGCGTAGGCCCCGTGCATTGTAGTATCGAACCAAGCGAAGTGCCTCCAACACAGCATCGCTAACCTGCAAAGGCTGGCAAGGTTGAAGCTAGCAACCAGATGCAGCCAGCACAGGTACTTCGCAAACGTGCTTTGGAAGCAAGCGCCACGCTTTCAGAAACCATCAGACATCTCTGGCCTGCACGAACCCGTCCTCGTAGACCTGCTTCCTGCGCCAACACGTTTCAGAGATCCTTATGACATTCTCACTCCATGTAACCGAAAGTAACCTGGCTTCCGGCCGGCATGAGAACTTCCCTGATGGTCCTGCAGTCGCAGAATGCCTGCGCGAGCTATCTATGTGACTCAGACCCGGGTGGCACTGCTGGGGGACGGGCCATCTTGAACTATAGGAATTTAATGGAATGCCGCCGCGCCCTCCCACCCTGCCACAGAACTAATGTCCGGCCCACGCAAGCCGCGGGCCGTGGGTACCGATAAAAATCGGATGAGAAAAACCGTGAATCACATGGTGCATCAACGTCAACAAAAACAGCGGTCAAGGGTCATGGTTATGGAAGACGGCACTGCCAAGTCGGTTCGCGTGCCTTCGACTCTCACGCTCGCACAAGGCCGGCAAGGCTCCGCATAGTTCTATCTCCACTTTTCTACAGGTTGGGCTAACGGTGCCAGCAACAGCAAACCAGGAGACCAGGCAGAAATACACGTAAAAGGCAAGCATAGAGACTCTGACCCCTGGAGCTTTGTGCAAACGATTCTACATGATCTCAAGTACTGCAACTTGGGCTGGAAGCACTGTTCCGCCCACAATCCCGTCGCTCAAAGCCACCCACACACACACACACGCTCAACTTCACTGAAGCTTGTGTGCGTTTCGGGGCAACACATGTCACCATATCTCGATAGTGATCGAAGCCAAGGACATACAACCGAAGGTCAATCTTGGTGCCAGGGAAAGCCACGCAGGGTTGATCTGCCTTCGCCAGCCCGCTCTTGAAAGCCTGCGGATCCTTGAGACACAGACAAAGGCCGCCGTCTTAGCAACAAATCCGACGTGCCCTAGCCTACACAGTGAATGTGCAATGATGCGTGTTCAACATGACAAACCGGGTCCTGGCAATTGGAAGTGTCGGGACTCTGGTCATACAGAATCTGTGCAGCCTGTCATCGGAACGAACTTCTCCGTTCAGAGTGCCCGCGAATAGGATGCTTCCCTCACGCCCTTAGACTCGCTCTGGCCCGGGCCCTGTTAAAGTCGCCGTAGATGATCGCAAGCGCGAGGGAGCGCAAGGCCTGGCATCAAGTCCCGGCAATCTCTGGCACGAACCTCCGAGATGCGTCAAATAAGACTGGATCAACAACACATGATGGTAACATGGTGCGGCCTCGACTTTTTCCCGCGCGAGTGGTATCGCCAAGCCTGGGTTTCCGGCATCATTGAAGCATCTCCCGCGGAACCGACGTGGACCGACGAGCCTCGTGACACCTATCTGTAAGCCTGTAAGCCCGGCACCAGCATCCAGAATGATCAGCTCGAAAGGCTGACCTCGAGCACCTTGCATCGCGTGAAACAGCCGCCTGCCACCCTTGCCGCATGCGCACAGAGCCGGCCACAAGCGGCGAGACTCAAACAGCTCATCTGCTGCGTGCATACTCTTGATCCTAGCTCCCTGCGGGTCACCACCGAGTTCAAGCGGTCGGAGGCTTTGCCCTCAGGATTGCAGCTCTTGCGGCGTGTGATGTCCAAGCACGGTGCGAGTACCAGCACTACCGGGGCAGGCGCAACCAAGGAGGCTCCATCGTCGGCCTGCGGAGTGCTTGTGACTGAACTCAACAGTCACCGGATGTCACCGGCTTAGCATGCGAACTCAGACCAGATCTTCATCTCGCCAGCGATCGGGCCTTGTCCTGTCCAGGGTGAGAACTGCTCGAGCCGCCAGCCAGCCTCTGAAAGCTGCAGACAGTCGGGCGCAACGCGGACAGATACGCGATGAATTCAGATCTACCAGTCGTGAACACAAATTCATGCGTCCGTGTGTGCAAGTAATAACCCGCCCAAAAAACACGCATGACATGGCCCAAGAATCGCACACAAAGTTCCTGGACGAGGGTGTTATCCGAGTGCATGGCTTCAGCATCACATTCCCAGGATGGAGATCCTCGAATGCCGTAACATCTTCGCAGACCCGACTACAGCACGACCTTATTTTGGACAGGAAGCTCCATGGATGAACTGGTCTTTGAAGATCATGCGCATGTAAGCCGCAAGACCTCAGCATCGCTACGAGTGAAACTGTGATTGACGGAGCAGGGCACCCGGCAGCGTGGCTCCATTCCGTGACATGTTACTAGTAAGTCTAGTTGGGCCTTACACACTTCGCGGCTGCGCGGAGCCTCACGATGCCGGCGAATAATGTTCGGGGTCCATAGTTAATCGCCAGCCTGTCTCGCACTCCCTTGAATAGCTAGGTGCAAGAACTCGAACCGGTGGAGTGAGTGGCCCTATCCCAGCATAACTAACAGAAGGATTTTTTCCGCACGGGCGCTCGACGGACAGCCGATGCCTCAGTGCTGTTACTCCTGCCAGTTGCAAGTTACGTTGTAAAACGCTGTTTTAAACAGCAACAGAAATACCTTTGCCGCGGTGACATCAGCAAGTCACCGAATTAAAGAGCAGAAGGAATTGTTTGTGGCATTCCGCAACCAATTCATTATGGCTTTCATGGCCACACCAACTTAACCGCCACCACGACCAGCCATCAAATTGGCCACGAGGCCCTGCGTAGCTGCTGTAGCTTCGTTCATCGCCGCACCGCGATGTCGCGGAAGTCCTCGTTAAATTCGAGGAAAAGGACCATGGAATGTGTATCCATGTGCTCGTCCGGTTGGAGCTCGTTGGAAAGGAGTTCCAAATTCATTGCTGATTCCTGAAAGGGCGCCCGTCGTGGCAGCCTGCCCCGGCCGTGCTTTGACGACTATTTCACCAGGATCGCCGGGACCCATCCCCAGCGCTAAACATAGCGGGCCCGCGTCACTCGACCCCGAACTCCATGTGAAAAGGCCGAGGAGCATGACCTCATTGGCCGTCTCGAAGGATGAGCTGATGCAGTTATGGGAAGGCTTCCCAGAACTGCTTCAGCTCATCCTTTGGCACGTGCAAAAATCTGACTAAATCTTTTTCACGAAGAACTGTGACATCGACTGCAACGTCCACACAGGACGATGCCAAAGTCTTTGCTGCCTCTACGAGCCCAACTGCAAGCATGGGCTCCGTCGTGGTTGCTGCTGAAGTTGCGGCACACCTGGCTTCGTAAGCCGGAGGCTCCAGCAACACCCTTTCATTCCCACGTTCATGCCGCAATGACGACAGCGAGCTCGAGAGCAGGGGGCCATGGCATGGGCTCGTCTCGCTGACAAGGACGCTCAAAGTGGAGCCTGCAGAGTTTGAGCCGTAGCCACTCTAATCTTCTATTTGGGGTAGGCAAGCTCAAGGGACACCGCTTGGTCTCAGCATATAGCATCCAGCCTTCCAGGTTGCCTTGGGTGGGGGCGAGTCTACGTCAGGCCGTTATCGAACATTAGAAGTGAAGGGAAGGGAAGGCGGGGCACTATCATGACACGTGCATTGCATGCTTAGGTTCTGGCTGTCTGATGCAATCCTCCGACTTACGTCCTGATTCTGGTGCAAACTTGCTGACTGCTGGAAACAGGCAGACAAGCAGGTGATATTTCCTGTCGACCATCGCATGGCAGGGTGCGGTCCTGAGGAATGCCCAAGATACTTCTGATAGTATCCTGGCGCCCAGAATCGGCAAGGATGAGGACTATCTTCGTGGCATGCTCGGCAATTTTTGTCAGACTACGACAGTTTCCAATATTTAGTTGGTCAGGATTGCTGGTATGCACAGCGGCCTCTATTCACGTAGAATGTTCGAACACTAAAGAATCCTGAACACTAGAGTCCAGAGGTTTCTGGGAGCCGGGGCTGCCCTTGGCCAAAGCAAAGCTCCGAAATTCCATGCATGCTAATGAAACGAATCCAAGGTTTCTGGCATAATCTACCTCCCATGCAGCCGTCAGGCGAGTAGGTGTTCTTTGCTCACGGACATGCACTTCCAAGCGGGCGAGGTGTACCGCGTGGCTCTCGAATCGGTCAACGTCTTGTCTCTCTTCATGACCATCCTGAGTTTAGGAGGCAGGCGCCAGCTTGAACTGCAGACGCGCAGACCCGGGATCCCTCATGTCACTCATATCTCGCACTCTTTCCCATCTTTGGAATTGAGATGTGGTGCCGCAATGACCTAACAGCCCTGCAGGTGCCTGAAAATGAAGCGGTATCCATACTACCGTCACCTACAATGCATGGCACCTGCGTGGAGAAGCCTGCTGCAGGCAACTGAAGATGCTCAGGACCCTGCAGAAGTCATGGCCTCTCGGAAAACACGGGAGAGCCTTAGTAAGCATCTCCCAAAGATACACATTGCCTCTTATTCCTCCTTGGCCTGTCGCTTGAAACGAATTGGCATCTTGCTGCTTCTTGAATATGGACGTTGTCAAATCACTTCATGGTGTCATTGCTTGCCTTCTTCCTGTAGCGTACCGTAAAAGGACCACGTTTGTCAGCACAAGCTGAGCACAAGACCCAATGGTGGGAAACCGTGCAAAACCTACTAAAGAATGCCTCATGCAATGCCCCATAAATCCTACATGTTTCGATCGAGGACCACATGGCAAGTCTCTTCCAATTTTCGCTGTGCTCGAGAAGCCGGCTCTCTTCCCACTTCCCGAGACAGCACGAGAAGCTCTTGCCTCGGAAGCACAGTGGCTTTCCTCCGTTCGCAGCCTCTGTGTCAGGAAGCCTGCCAAGTTGACAAAGCTTATGAACTCGAATTCGGTTCTTGGCGTTACTCCTTTGTCGACACTGACGCTCGTTGTGGATCCAGGCAAGGCTTCACAAATCTTTGGAGGCGCCAAGGTACATTCGCTGCCCAGTGTTGTGGTATGAGAATCACATCGATATGGTAAACCGTAGCTTAACGATCCATGCAGGCCAATACAAGCACCCTATTGAAACCAGGCGCTTCATTTTTCCGTGCTCACGTCTCAAGGCCTTGAGTCTCGAAGCCACTGACCCACCGACCTGGGACTGGAAGAGCACCCAAGTCGCAGGCGAGGCATACAGCGGGGAAGGAAATCTTATTGACCTCGGCAGGGCTGGGCTGTCAGAACAGGAGCCGCCGGATTTGTACAAAATAAAGCTTCTTCGCGGGCACATGTATCTCAACTGTGCTAGCTGAGGCTCTTCAACTCCTCGAAGTTTTCGCGGAAACGATGCCTTAGCACTAGCACTTCGAGTTGGGAAAGATTCGGACAAGCCTCCGTCATCTCAAAGCTTCCGGGCTAACCCGTGTGTGAGACTGCGATGGCTTCGCATGTGGCCGTTTGCACTTTTCAAACTCTGATGTCTGAGAAGCCGGCAGGTGGGAGGCTTCCGTGCGAAAGTCCTTAACCGAAACAATGCAAGACGGCTCGCATTCGGGAGTCCAGGTACTTCTTCACAAAATGCCGAGATTAGCAGAAGCAGGCAGAACGGCAAGACTGGGAACTATAGGTTTGCGAAGCGGTAGTTGGATGTCCACTGTTTACATCCTGCGATGACTATAACGATAATTCTGAAGATGCTTACCAGGTTGGTCAGGTGACGACTGCGACGTTACGGGCGACTGCTTCAGTAGGATTGCTCTAGGCAAGGGTGCACCGAAGGTCTGATGCCTCTTGATTTCATGGCAAAAAGCGCCTGCGCACCCACCCACACACACAAACATGCACACACTTGACACAATGTGTCGGCAGGCCTCAACTCGCTTTGGAGAGTCAAGATGAGTCAAGTATATCACTCCAAGTCAGGTTGAATCAGCAAGTGTCAGGAATCCGCCTTAATCCTCATGCCTCGCAAATGCCGAAAATGTATACAAAGAGTGCGCATCCAGTTGCATCACAGACAGATACTCAAGCACTCAATCGAAGCGGAAGATTAAAGCAGCATCCAAAGCAACGATGCATCAGTGAACAGCGAAGGCCAAGTAGATGACGTCACAAGCACATACAATCTACAGCAGGTGCGTTCGCACCCCTTCCAGGGGGTGTCTTCGTTGGCCGGTGACCTCCAGGGAGAGCATTGGCCCCCTGCTGGAAACATCGCACTGCACTCCTGCACGTCTCTCGGAGAACCCCTGGGAACAGGGTGGGACACACACACACACACATTCAGACTCAGACAGCTCACGATTGGCGCGCCAGTTCTAACTGTGTAAACTGAAGCATACTGAAGCTGGGAAATCAAATTTGGGAGCCGCGCCGTCTGCATCTGCACATGTTCGCAAAACTCTTCTGCGGCTTTCTTCAAGCCAAGCCTAGGCAAAGCATCAACAACCTCCATCTACACGCCTCGCTCAAAGAAAAAATGGTCCTGCAACATCTTTGTACGGCCACAAAACCGGCCGAGGCCACGACATGCGAAGAGGCTCCAGAGACTCTGCCCAGTTGCCAAAACCTTGCCATGGCTGCAGCACGTGATTCGTATGCGTACAGGTGCACGCTCTCGAGCGATTACGCTACATGAAACGACACTTCCGCATGTGATTGACGACTACGGACCCGTGTCAATGTGCATCAGCTTGGGTCCCGACATAGCAGCAAAGCCAAGTCAGCTTCTAGCAGCCGCTTGACTCCCGGCCTGATGGCAAGCAAAAAAGTCCTACTAGATGGTAGATTTGCACTGCTGCCGTCTACTATTGAACCTTTCTTCATCGACGAGGCCCTTTTCCCAAACAAGGCCAGGGCCTGAGGCACTTGACGGCAACCTCTGTGCCGTCTTTCAGCTTGCCGAAATACACCTTCACGCACTGCATGCTCAAAGTGAAGTGTCAAAGCACCTTGAAGCCGAAGGAGCCTCGGCCATGCTCCCAGAAGCATAAGGCCTCCAGCGAATCACAAAGGTTGGCCGTCGGCGGACGCGCAGAATCCTTGCCCCAACGGTGGCGAAGCCTGGAATCCAAGGACTGAATTTCCAACTCCGCGTTGCGCAGTGAGCTGCAAACCTGCGGCTGATCGAGAGACCGATGAAGGTTACAAGTAGCAAGCCGTATGCCGTATGCTTGGCGGGCTCCTTGCTATTGCCAAGTCTTGGTCGCAGTTAATCACAGTATCACTAGCCTTCCAGCCTTCCTTCAGGGCCAGCGAAATTCCGATTGAGAGACGTCCTACTTTGCTTGACACTGTAAAGACACGCTTCGCGCTCCACCAGCAAGGCAGGAATAATCAATGTGGTGCACAGATGTGCACAGCACTTGAGTCGGTTTTCGGCGACACCCCCAATCAAGACCATGTATGGTCCTATTCACCCGGTCCCGTAATGCATTGAAGGCCTTACACTCAGGAGCCTGCCCACACTGTTCTGAACACAAGCGATGGCCTCAGCGGGCTCGATGGCTGTCGACCTGAAAGAGAAGACATTCTCTCAAACCGAAAGACGCCACAAAATCCCGGAGCTCGTCTCTGTCACAAGGTTCCGGCCACGGTGCAGACACAGACTCGTGCATGCCTCAACAGAGCGCTTCGCTTCGAGGCATCCGGACCTCTCCCCTCCATAATCTCATAGGCTGCAGTATCTTGTGCTCCCGACGCCCCAGAGCCGCACAAAGGCTGTCCGGAAACCTTGGTCGTATCGAACACCCGAGCAGGAGGTAGTTGAGCAGCTGGTAGCTCGCGCTTCATGGACTGCGTGAGTCTTGCTTAGTGCCGGGCAAATCTCGTCTGGTCGCTGCCCATTGCGCCAGCCTGATCAGGAATGCTGCTTTGGCACGTCTCAACAAAGGGTGGGCATGGCTTGCCGGCTGACCGCTGACCACGTACGTTGCGGCTCCGGCTTTTTCTATGCCAAGCAGAAGATTCCGTCAATGGCATAATCTCGATCAAAACATGTTGGACCACGTGGTGCATGCAGACCTCAGCCGGCAGTTGAGGTGCAGAGCTCTGACAAAGAAAGATTGAACTACTAGACAAGGCAGGGATGCGACTGGCATGCAGCACTATCCGATGGCATGCTCCAGCGGTGGAGTTCGGAACTGAGCCCAGAACTTGGCATCCTCGGCTGCCAGTGGTGCACCACTCGGCACAGTAAGGCGGCTTCATGTCAGGCACTTCTTGCGGTGCTTCAGCCAGGCATCTTGTCTTTGGCCTTGTACTGCTTTGCGACCTGCCAACCACGAGGCGCTGTTGCAGGCTCTAGGTGCCTGCATGTGTCAAAAGTTGCCTCGTGGACTTTGGCATTCCAATCTCCACCCGCCACAATGCCTGCAAACGTGCAGGTGACACAGCAAACTCCTCGCATGCTCACACTGAAAACGTCGTCGCTTGAAGCTGCACAGTTGGCAAGGAGGCGCCAAAATGAGCCGGAATGCGCTCACCGCGCAGCTCAGCGCTCAGCTGCTCGAGGACCTGCGCTGCCGTGTCCTGGCGAGAGCTGAAGGTGTTGGGAGTGAGGCACAAAAGCGGGCACAAGTCAGCCACACGCACTCCTCCTGAAAGTTCGGCGGGCTTTTTTTGTCGCTGACGATGGGCACGTGGCAGGACCTGATTGCGAAAGGCTTCCGACCCACGCAGCAGTTTTTGCAAAAATTTCCAAGTTCGCAGATGCAGGGATGCTAAGTCACAAGCACGAACCAGGTAGACCCACACCTGGCAGCTGCGAAGTATCCTTGGAATTCTACAACCAACAAGCCGAGGTTGTGCTACCAGCACGTTCCCGACTTGGTTCCTCGACTTAGCCGGAGGAGAGTGACCCAGCTCGCGAACTCATCATCTAATGCCCTTGTACCATGTCTGAAGAAAGGCTGGCTTGATTACAGATCAGGATCCGAATCTTCAAGGCTGGCGGGGCAGGAGTAAGGTCGGGAGATAAACCGCAAAATCTTACATGGCTTCTCTACGTGACATCTTCTTTTCAGGCTGGGAGCTTCGTTGGGAGAACAGGTCAACTCTGGCCTGCTTGGATTTGGTGCTTGCAGTTTGCGAGCGAGTACTGAGCCCAGGGCTTTTCTTCTTTCCCACCTCAACGGCGACCTAGGCTCCATAAACCAAAGGTGCTTCACATGGCAGCGAACTGCATCCGGTTTGTCCAGATTTTAGACGAGGTCGGACCAATCTGTCCCCGCCTGCTGCTCCTCATCGATGGGTTGTCGTGAAACCACCATCGTCATTGCGTTGCACTTGCCGCCTGGATGTTCGGCAAATGAGCTACGGTTGCGACATAGACGGGGAATTGAAAACCGCAAAGGCACAAGGAGCTTCTTGCTAGCCCACTGGGTAAAGATCAAACAAAGCACAGGCAGCACAGTCGCCACTCGGCTGTGATGCTAGCAGCTATGAGTAACATGCATTCGAGCGGCTGTCTTCGTTGGCTTCTGACAAGGCCGTAGCCCAGCCTTTCCTCAGGTGCCCGCGACTCCAATGCAACTATCCGTGCCAGCCGCTAGCCTCAACATCTACATTCTTGAAAAAGGACGAATGCTGCTTGAGCTGGGTCTCTGCAGACAGCACTTTTGCACCTGCCGCACGCATTTCATGGAACTTGAGAACTCTCGTGAACGAATAAAGAACTGCTGCCGTTACATAGTTACGCACTTGCAGACAACCGTCAACAGCACCTTCTGGGCAACTTCATGGTTCAGCTCCTGAAGGAAGGCCACATCCACTTCTGCCGACAGCGCGTCGACAAGGACCTTCTCCACATAGGCTGCGTGCGCAGCTATGACCTCAGCTATGCTGATCGCACGACAAAGGTCGAGCTGTGTGCAAGAACTCTTGCGCCCCTTCTGGGACGCAGATGCGACCTGGCTTTGAATGGGGCAGGTTCATCTGGGGCTCTGCGAGAATCGTCAAGCTGCTGTTGGCGATGTCATCGCATGGATGAAGAGCTCTGCCTCCTGAGCCAGCATGTTCCAACAGATCAAAATGACACCGAGCATTGTGTCGAACCACGTGCAGGCACCTCTAAGCAGCTTGAGGCCACGCACCACTCACGACGCCAAAACAAGATTCGCTACGCAGGGACAACTAAGCCTCATAAGAAGAACCTGCACCGCTTGACGAAAAGGTCTCTGCTGGAGTCCTCCGGGCTTTCTCCTCGGTTAAGCTTGACATGCGAGACTTGCGCTTCACTTCACAGGACGAAACAACCAGATGATTCTCGCCGTCCTGCCTCTCACCAAAACTCAGAGGCCGAAAAGACTTTCATTGTTGAATCAACAGCTGCTTTGCGGCAAGGCGGCGCTTCAGCTGTCGCAGCATTTGTCGACAGTACGGCAGGATCCTACAGTGCACGGGGCTCCTATCACTCCACCCTCAGCCCTGCACCTGTGAGACGCATGTTTGAACTATTGTTTGAACATAAGGGCTTCTGCCAGGACTCCCATCCTGCACAACTTTCCCAGACGTCAAGGAAGGGAACTCCAGAGTGTTCCACGTGAGGATCCTGAGGGCACCTCCTTCGGCAACCGAAGGACTGAAGACTTGCGAGGCTGGATGAGGCCTTCTGCCTTTTTTTTCTACTTGTAGGGCCTCTATCGAAGCGAAAGCATTCTATGTAGCGACGTCCTGGCTGAACTTGTTCCCTCAAAGGCCGATGATCGGAATGGGCCAAGGCTTCCTTGCTCGCTCAACCCAATAAGATGCCACGAGTTGTGCGGTATGACGATGCTGGAGAATAACATGAGCATGGCATCAGCACTCTGGTGACGGCATGCTCGAATGCCGTCACGGCGTCTGCGTGAAGCTTGATGACCTCTGCCAGCTTTCCTCGGCGCAGAGTAAGAACAAGCTTCAGAACCTCTCGACTGCAGACGTGAGCAGCTCACATCTTGCACCGTCTTTGCCACGTCTGTGCGAAACTCTCGCCGCTGATGCTGACTACCACGCTCCTCTTCCAGCATCGGTCTCAGAAAGCTCTTCGCGGGAACGCTGCATGTACTTGACCCACCTCACCTGCTTTTGCCCTGCTTGATCTGGAACCAGAGCAAACAAAATTAGAACGGCAGCCAGTCTTTGGACACGGGTCGGCTGCGCTCTGCAGCATATTGCGCCACCTTGGCATCGAAGCTGTCGTCCAAGCCACCTTTGCGCAGCAAGGCCTGTCAACAGCTGGCATGGAGGAGATTTTTGCATGCTATGACTCGGAGGGTAGTTTAGGGCACCTTCGGCTTGGAAAGATCTCTGAGGAGCCAGAGGTACAGAATCCTTCCCGAACCGGTCTTGAGCCGGGACCACGTGGTGATGCTCGCGGGGATGCATTGAATGTGATACTTTTTGTGTTATCTACACGCTCATGTGCGTATGTGTTGCTCGGCAGTATAGTCAAGAAGCCACGGAGCACAAAGCAGGGTCAAAGAGCAGAACTGAGCGTAGCGTCACGACTGTTCTGTTACCTATTAACTATTCCACTCCGAGGACGTGGACAGGGGATGGCATAGTAAACAAGAATTAATTTGCATAGTGTATCGGTCTGGTGTGGAATGGGGCGGTGTTTCTAAAGTGCTTGCTGCCGAGTGACGAGGACAGAGAGCACTAGCGGAGCTGTGCCTTTCTAAACCTTGAGTTTGAAAGAGGCTAAAACTTGGCAGTTCCAGCCATCCGGGGAGTCGGCACAGTCTAGGAAGAACGCGTAAATTCAACGGTTCTCCAGACCGCTCCCTTCATAGAGATCCTAACTGGCCAATCCATAAAAAAATCACTCACGCCTCCGATGAACCTTGAGCTGAAAACTACGGTGCATAATCACATTGTAACCTCGGGGGAGATCCTATGATCTGACTTGCATGCTGCGAATTAGGTAAAGAAGAGCAGGAGGCCTGACAGAACACATCGGCAAGCTTCGGAAAACACTCAAGGTCCAACATCAAGCCCCGACAGGACCGAGAGACGCGACGAAAGTAAAAACTTACAGGCAGTGGGGCTATTATGGGCATCCGCCCAAAAACCAAAGAACAGTAAGGTTTATCAGAGTGGCCTGGTAAGAAGCTCTGTTGCCAAGACCGCTTCTTGCAGAAGTGCGAGAAAGGCACCCGAAAGTTCTCCAGCTCTCTCTTCTCCAGCTCTTGCACGTCTCTTCGGCATACAGCGTCAACCTGCACACGACTCGCGCAGAATCTATATCTGTAGGATGGCCCGTTATCACAGGACGTTCGACGACGTCCGATGTGCCCTAAACTTGTAAAGGATGTCGTCGGATCCCATGCCCCGATCCTTCTTGAGCAACCCAGGGTACCTGAAGCCAAGCACTACGGCCGAACGATGGATTGGGTCACTTCACCGGCTCTCAGCAACCGAGGCGCAGCTTTGAGCCGAGCTCTGCATTGAGAAGTGTCTCCGGCAGAACGTCGGACTTCACCTGAGATGGCGCCCACAAGAGCCTCCTACATTTAAGGCTTGGCAAGTGCAGCAACCAGTCGACAACACTAAGATGCATCCCAAGAAGCAGACACAGCAGCATAACGGGCCTCCGCCTCTGCAATAGTGGCATTCAGAGAGCGCAGCATCTCCTTCGGAAGGGGCTCCTGGAACGTCGACTGGGACACCGCTGACGGAAATTGCTCCGCTCACAAGCACCCGGTCTCCGCCTGGCTGTCAATCTTTGGAAGGAGCTCAGCAGCGAAGGTCGACACCTGCTTCAGAAACTGCAAAAGATAGAATGAAACGAGACTAGGCGTTCGACAGTGGCGTCAACTTTGCTGAACGGATGCAAGATGGCGGCTCGACCTTGGCGAATACGTCTTCCGCTCGTTGCAGGAGCTCCTCAGTCTGCAGCCGTCTGCTCGTGGTTTCGGGGACGAAGATGGAGAAAGAATCAGACCAGACTGAGCCCCCAAAATGGCCAATCGAGCGACCGAAGCGTGCGCCCGCTCCACATCCGCCAGAGCAGACTGGCATTGCTGTCGGAAGGCAGCCTGCGGCTTTCTGGTATCGAGATTCTACTGCCGCAAGACCGAAGGCACTGCTTGTAGACCTACCCTCCGCTCACCTCACACATGTTGCACACTTTTACGAACCATCGCATGGGACGCCGAATCAACACTTCGAACGAATCCTGTTCTATCCTGCTGTCTGTGCACTTGCTAGCTCGAGGCCTGACCCTGTGCTGTGACAATGCGACTGGGAAACCGTGAAACCGTGAAAATCACAGGCTGAAAAGTCCTGCTACGATCATGGGCGAGTGACATCCACTGACACCGCCTCCGCGAGAAAGTTGTCCACCCCTTTCCTTCACATGCTTCGGATTGATTCTTCCGACACCACATTGCTGTGTTCCGGCTGCTCAGGCTTCTGCAGCTGTTCAGCAAAGTCGTTGTCGACAGTGCCAGGACTGGGAACAGCCGAAGCATGATAGATGTAGTATCCTGAGAAGTCGCCAACTGAAAACACGTGCACTGCCCGATTGCCTCAGTATGATCAAAGCACACCGTGGATGCCAAGCTGAGACTGGGACTGATAGCTGTCGCCAAGAAGTCGTCCATCGTGCAGCAGGTGTAGAGCACTGATTGCTTGAAAATTGTTGAGCTGTCGTATGACTGTGTAAATTTCGAAAAATGCTGGGCACCTATGTATATAAATCTCACTCAGTCGTGGGTGTCTCCGACTCTTGGCAACTTGATGTACAATGCACGAATCGTCCGAAGGATAGAGATGTGAGCTATACGAGCTGCAGGTCCAGGCGCGTTCGCAGAGTTAAGGGGAGTGAATTCGAATCATGCGCATGTCATGAACTCGAGTTAGGAGCCGCCTTCAATATGTCTGATGGCACTCTGATAGTGAGAAACAAAAAAAGTATTACGATAGCCAGGATGCAGACTTCACGAAACAAGGCCCTGCTCGTTCGATCCGCGCCTGGCAACAATATGGCAAAGTCTCGCAAAGCTTCCACCGCGCTGTCACAGTCTCACACGCACGCACAGCTTGCATGGATGTCTTGGTTGACAGAGCCCTTGACCACAAACAGGAGGGCTGGACCGACACCCAAGTCCAGAAGAGCGTTGGGTCAACTATCCAAACCTTGCCATCTCAAGCTACAGCAAAGCTACAGCATCCACAGGGCTGGCACAAAGCCAGTGTTCAGATCCGAGCGGGAAAATAGATTGCCACTGGCAACATGATGACCTCGGTAGGCAAACATCAGCAAAGAACTACCGGAAGCTGATGTGAGAAGTTCTCTTTGTAACTGCCAGCAAGCAGCCGCAAGCTGAAGCAAGCGCCATATTGACGCCTGCAAACGCTTAGGTCAATCGGTGCGGGTCTAAAGGAGTGGAGCATATGTAAGTGGAGCTTGCGCGGCCGTTGAACTGTAAACCAGGCCACTAGCACAACAACAAGAAGGATAAGGTACAAACACTAGCTGCAGCCCCGTCAACACATGCATACGGTTTTGGTCTGTGCATAAAAGGTAGAGCCAAAATTGGAGCCGAGTCATGTTGTTTGACGCCCACCCAAACAACGACAACGACGACAACGACGACAAGAACAAGAAGAAGAAGAAGGACAAGGCAAAAGAACAACTGCAGACCCGTCAAACATATCTGGTTTTCATCTGTGCATTCAAAGGTAAAGTAGGGACTAAAACAGGAATTTAGCCATGTTGTTTGTTTCTTGCCTGAGCAACAACAAGAACAACAACACTAACGACAACAAGAACGTTCACCAGAACAAGGTCAACAACCACGACAAGAAGAAGAACAAGAAGAAGAAGAAGAAGGAGAAGAAGAAGAACTGCAACAACAACAGTAGGAATAATAGGAAGAAGCGTCAGAACAAGAACAATAATAAGAAGACGAACAGTAATAACAAGAACAAGAATCACAACAAGAAGAAGAACAACAACAACGACAACAACAACAACGACAGCAGCAACAACAACAACAGCAACAACAACACCACCACCACCACCACCACCACCACAGCCACCACCACCACAGCCACCACCACCAAAAACAACAACAGAGCAACAGCAGCACAAGCAGCAGCAGCAGCAGCAACAGCACCAACAACACCGCCACCAACAACAACAACAACAACAACAACAACAGAGCAACAGCAGCAGAAGCAGCAGCAGCAGCAGCAGCAACAACACCACTACCAACAACAACA